CCTCATCCTCCACTGCCTCATGACCATCTCCATTCCTCATTCCTGAGAACCACATCTGTTCATTTATTACAGAATCATTAGCTCTGAGTAACGGGGGAGTATATGCCCCACAAAGAGAGATTGAGTGTAAAGTAGAAGAGACAGCAGTTCAGCTTCAGGACAACAGCAACCATCAGCACACGTGGGGATCAATGGCCTGGCATTGCTGCAAGGCAAGAACTGGGTCACACCTCTCTTTATACAGCCGTGCTGGAACGGCATCTGGTCACATCTGTGAGGGGTTGTAGAGGTTAGCTGAGGTGAGAAGGCAGAACTGAGCTGAATGCTGCACATCGTCATCCACTGGACTCACTGAGGAGAACAAAGTGGGCTGAGCACGAGCATTCATCTCTCTCTGCTTCCTGCTTGCAGATGCCTCACCTCCTGCAGCCATGCTTTCCCTGCTGCAGATTGGGAGTCAAATATACTTTTTTTTTTTTTTACTTAAATTGCTTCTTGTCTGGTATATTAGTCACTTTTCTGTTGTTGTGATAAGACACCATGACCCGCAACAACTTATATAAGAAAGAATTTATCTAGCTTACAATTCCCAAGGGACATCATGGCCGTAGGCAGTAGGCAGCAGGCAGCAGGCAGCAGGCAGCAGGCAGCAGGCAGCAGGCACCATGGCAGGAACAGCTGCAAGCTCACATCTGGAATGGCAAGCAGGAAACATAGCAACTTCTGAATAGTGCAAGTCTTTAAATTCTCAAAGGCCATCCCCAATGACACACTTCCTTGAACAAGGCTGCATCTCCTAAGCCTCTCAAACAGCACCATCAAATGAGGACCAAGCATTCAAATGCCTGAGATTTATGGAGACATTTTTTATCCAAGCTATCGCATCTAGTCCTGTCAGAGCAAGGAGAAAATTTACTGTGCTGGTTTGAATAGAAATGGCCCCCACAGGCCCATATATTTGAATGCTTTGCTTGGTCATCAGGAGGTGACACTATTTGACAGGAATTAGGAGGTGTCACCTTGTTGAAGTAGGTGTAGCCTTGTCAGAGGAAGTGTGACAATGAGGGTGGGCTTTGGGGTTTCAAAGCTCAAGCCAGGCCCAGTGTCTTTCTCTCTTCCTGTTGCCTACAGATCTGGATATAGGACTCTTAGCTATTTCTCCAGCACCATGTCTGCTTGTGTGCTGCCATGATCACTGCCATGAAGATAAGTCTCAATTAAATGCTTTCCTTTGTAAGAGTTCTGGTCATGGTGTCTCTTCACAGGAATAGAACACGAAGACAGTAACTAATACAAAGTCCACCACACTATGTAAAGTAAAAATGCAAATAAAAAAACTCATTCAAAGTCATCGATTCAGAAATAACCAGAGTAAAGCTTGACCTGGCTTTATAGCCCAATAAAGTGATATAACATTAACCATATAGAGCCTCACCAAGAACACTGCTGACCTTAGAACAAGGCACTTTTCTGTACATCAGGCATCAGCTTTTTACCTGAAATCTAGAATGTTCCTGTTGGTTATAGCTATAGGAACCTAGAGGAAGAGCTGGCACCGCTGCTATCCAAACTACATTCTGAGGACAGGAAAGCCCATTCTCCTGAAAAGAGACCTGAATACTGTTTTCCTGAGAAAGAGCCAGCCAAATAGATTATCTATTCCATTCCCCAACAAGGATGATCATGGTGTGAGGTGGCATACCAGCCAGTAACAGTCACCCTTCTAAAATCTACCCCTCTCTTCCCACTCCACTCCTGGCAACAGTTTTTTTTTTTAATTCGATATTTTATTTATTTACATTTCAGATGTTATCCCCTTTTCCCACCTCTATTTAACCCCCTATCCCATCCCTCCTCCTCCTTTTTTTGCTTTTATACCGTTTAAAATACATGAAAGTATTAAGGTCAGTTCTAGGTTGAGGAACTAGATGCAAATAGTCAAGGAACAAGGAAGACAATAAACCCAGATAGTCAAAGAACAAGCAGGACAATAAACAGAGTCCCATGATCACTCCCATGATCACTATTTCTAAGGGCTTACCAGGATGACCAAAGTATCTGAGCCTACTTTCCTGTCCTAGCCCAAAGTCATTGTCATGCCTGAAGCCTACTTCTTTGTTCTAGCTTAAGATTTAGATTCCTGCCTGGAATTACTTCTTTGTTCTAGCCAAATGTCAGATTCTTGCCTGCAGTCCATTTCCCTGTCCTTGGCGAATGCCAGATTCCTTCCAAGCAGCCCATTTCCTTGTCCTTGGCCAATGTCAAATTCCTGCCAGGCAGCCCCCAAAGCTCTCCACATCTCCCTCTTTTTTATTGCATAAACCAGACTGAGCCTGTCTTAGGTGGTTCTGACAAGAATGCCTTCCTTACCCATCGTGGAATATGCATTACCAAAAGGAATGCACTTCTGTCTTAGGTTGGTAAGGCTCTGTGCAAAATCTTACCTATCCTTGGCTTTCCAGCCTGTTAAATTAATAATTCTATCTGGGGGTCCATTTTTAGTTTCAAGTCATGTACTTTGGCTGCCAACATGTTGATGTTGTTAGAGACAAGCTTAACATGATGGGCAGTAATAAAAATATTCCCAGGACCAAAAGGGCTAGCATGTTAAAGCTATATATGCCATTCCTGAGGTTTGACCAAAATGGAAATACTGACCTCAAGCCATAGATAATTTTATCAGCATTATCTGCAGCATCAAAGCTCAGCAGAGCAGCATTCTTTAAATTCAGAATCTCACTATGCAAAATTAAAACATCCAGAGAGGTGTTAGAATTTTTCTAATTATAATGACTATCATTGTAAATTTTAGAAGTAACACAACTCCAATGGTAATTGTCATGACACTTGAGATGGCTCCTAACTCTTAAACCCTGAACCTCTATCTGATAATTTGAATAGGATCAGTTTTCTTTTTTTAAAAGACCACATTTCAAATGTGCTGTGCAAACAAAGAACTGAATGCACATATTTAATGAATTGAGAGACTTGTGGTTACAAAGATTACTGCCTGAAACATAGGCTGGGGCTGGGCCCCTCAGAAGCATTAGGGCTTTGACTCTCAGCCATTCAAGCTTACTCTGTACATTTCCTCAGATCCCTCCTTACGTCCAGGTTGTATGTTGGAAATAGAGGCATGATGATTAATAATCACAATGGTTAATATACAGTGGATACTTATTACTTGCCACTGGAACTGTTACTTTAAGTAGCAGTTTGACACAGAAATCCATCAGTACTTGTTACTTTGCTCACTGCTACGACAGAAATAACCTAACCAAGTAAGGTTTTATGTTGCAGATGCTTGCATATGTGCTTGGCCAGGACATCACAAAGATATGTGGTAGAAGAGGTTCTCACCTCACAGAGGACAAGAAGCACACTGTAGCAGGAAGTGTTTAGGAACAAGATTATCTCCAAGATACACCTTCCAAAGATCTTTATTCTTCAACCTGGCATCACCTTCTCAAGTTCTCTGAACCTCCAAACACACTGTCATTTGTTAAGTTGCAAACCCAGGTCAAGGCTGAGGTGCCAATTTAACACATCAAAGTGGACCTGGCCTCCAGGTTCTCCCAGCAGCCCTAGGTTCCTACCTGTTATAGTGTATGGCTGGCATAGCCCACCCTTTACCCTGAACACTGAAGCCCAGAGGCTGCACTACCCTCCCCAGAGGCTCATCCTTATATAGTCCAGACATTTTGGTTACCCACCAGTTTTGAACCTTTGGCCTTCTGGCTGCTGCACCTGTTCTCTTCTTCCCTCCTTGTCCTTTCCCCTTCTCCTCTCCCACTTGGCCCAGTTTTAGATTCTCACAGATATTTCTCTCATATATCTATAATAAATATTCTCCTCTACCATACCTAGGGCCAGTCATACCTTTTCCCCTCCTTTTTTACTTCTTTTTCTTTCATTCACAACTATTTGGGGCCAATTGTCCAACATGAGCCTATGAGAGACTTCCTATGTGCAAATTACAACATCCTCTAACTTTCTCACCAACCCAATAATCCTAGCTATTGTTATTGTTCTCATTTGACAGGTAGGGAGACTGATTTTTAAGATCGTATCTATAGTAAGTGGTAGTATTAGGATAAACCCAAGTGAGACACAAGCTCACTTTCTGTTTTGTTTTTTTTTTCTTTGTTTGATTTGCATTTCTGTTCTAAATTGCTAGGACTCTAGTTCAAGGTCATGGGACAGTCATCCTAACTCTGTTAATCACACAGACATTTCAGGTGAACATTTGTAGAGAAGAAAGTTTACCAATTGGCAGATCCTGGGAAGTCTACCCTGTAGTGCTTAATAAAAATATCCTCTTCTTGGAGATCTGAATTCAACATTTCCACCTTGAAATCTAGATTGGTAGCAAGTATTAGGGCTGTAGTTCAGTGTAATGGCTTTTGAGTTGACAGATTCTATTTTGCTCACCTGCAGCTCTTAGCGTTCAGGAGTTGTGTCTCTCTCTCTGAGTATCTGATGAGAGCAGCCAATGAGGTAATGAGTTAAACACAAAGTACTTTAGGGCAATGCCTGCTGCACAGCAAGAGAAAAAAAAAAAAAACAGTGACAGAGTGACAGTGGCAATGTCCAGGCAGTCAAGATGCCTTAAAGGCTCTTGAGATCATGGTGAGCAGTTTGGAAGGGCTGCAACATAAAACTTAGAACATCAAGTTGAAATGGAATTTCTGATAAACAATATTTAAAAAATAACTGCATGAGTATCTCCCAAATACTGCGTGAAATACTTATGCTAAACCTTTTTTTGCTATTCTTACTAACCTGAAATCACAAATTATGAAGCAGCCCTATGTTTGTTAAATAAGACAATCCCAGGCCTCAAAGCCTCAACACCCAGTCTGTTCCAGGGCAACTGGACCCTGACCAGACACAGGGGTCGATCCCAGAGGGGTGGCAATCGCCTTGTCTGGCCCAGGCAGTACTAGCAGCACCCAGAGTGGCCCCGCCCCGCCCGTCCCTCCCAGAGCTGAGGGCAGGTTCCAGAAGCTGTTCCAGGCGGGCCTGCCCGGTGGTGTAGAGTCGCGCCCTCCTCCCACAGAACGTGCCCAGGCAAGGCCAGTCGCTCGTCATGTCAGCTGCGAAGGCGGCGGATGTTTTCCACAGAGCCCGGGGCAGGACCCTGGACGCGTTTTCCTCAGGTACTGCTGCTTGGCTCTTCGCCCGGGAAGGGGGACTCCAGAGCTGCAGAACCTTCCGCGCGGGGAACCTTCCGGTCGCGGGCGCGCACTTCCAGCCGGTACCCTTTGCGGGTTGCACACGGCACCGGGAACCGTTGTAGGAGTTGTCCCTCCCTCGCGGCAATGGGTTCTTCGCTGGCCTTGACCTGACCTTGTAAACAACAAACTAAAAAAGCAAACAAACAAACCAGAAGGGCAGAGATGGCAAAGAAGTGAATAAGTGCTTGGGCTCTGCTGTGGGGCCTGTCTTCTATCTTCCCCATCTGTAGAACCCGGCCACTGCAAGCTTATGGGGGGTTTGGGGGGGGGGGGACCTGACAAGTGAGGGATGTGTTGGAGGCTGATACTTGTAGTGAGATTGTATTTTCTATCCTGCTGTTTACTGTAACCGTAGAGAGGGAAGGCATTCTGGTCCTGGTAGCGTTCTTGGACGTTGGTCTTAGAGAATCTGCCCCTATGTCTTGCCTCAAAGGGAGTGTTAACACATCTGAGTATTTCTGTAACCTAGGGTGGGACACATGCTAGGTGTTATGCAAATGCTAGGCCTTGAGCTACTCAGAGGATACACGATTGGTTCCTGTTTCCCTCTGTTGAGTTTGGATCTTTGGAGTTGATTCTTCTCTGGCACTTGGCATCGAACCATAGAAACTTTTACCTTTCTTGTCTTGTTATCCAGCCTCTAATTTGTCTGAACTGCTCTGAAAAAGAAGCAGGCCAGTTCCAAACCCTGGAGGGCCTTGGCACCTGCTCTTCTCTGCTCTGCTGGTGAGACTAGGGAGTGTGGCACCTTCTCAGCCTTCGCATCTTTTTTTCATTTCCTCAGACTTACCTCTGCATAGCTAGCCAAAGAAGATCAATCCTACATTTCTCTGCTAGACCTTTGTTTCTTTTCCCTTTTTGCAATTCAAGGTTCTTCACAGATGTGCACAGCCAAAAGTCCACTGATGGTGGACTGGGGAAAATCCAGTCTGCTGTGGTGCCATTTTCTACAAATTCTAATGTGTCTTATGTCTTTTCCCCAGCCTATACATTTTTGAGATGCATCTATATTATATCCAAGAAGTTCTCCTTACTTCCTTCTGAACAGCATCCCATTGATGGAGCATATGTGTTGTTATGTTTTGTTAATGGATGTGCTGAGTCTTCTCCAACTTTCCTCTCTTTGCTTCTCCAAATTTCTCTTTGCCACAGTGCTCCAGGAACGACTGCCATAGACTTGCAGCAATGAACTCATTGTCCTGAAGCTCCCACAGCAGATCAGGAAGAGGGGAATCAAACACCAGAATGTTTATTCCTGCACTTGATACCCTTTCAGGGTTCCCTTTTGTAGGCTGTATTCCTCCCCTGAAGGCCCTGCAATCGTTATATTCTCAGACTCTATTTCCAGATTGAGGCGTCTGTGTGACAGTGGCTCTCTTTTGACTGCTAAAATGTTCCTCAAATTTTCTTTGTATTCATCCCATCCCAGATAATCCCTTTGAAAGTGACTCAGGCATTTTCCTAGTTTTAGTATGTTTACTACTTCTTCTTTGGTCCTGACTGGTACAATGACCATTTAGTTACGTACTTTTCATTCTTGTAAACAGTATTGTAGTAAGCCGTTTTGTACAACTGTCTTCTATAAACACATGAGAGAATTTCTTCAGGAGCAAGAGTGTGGGTTATAGGGTATAGTCATGCACAGATTTCCCAGGGATAGCTACATTACCTTCCAGAAGGTTCGTAACTGTTTATGTTCCCGCTAGCAAACTGTTCCTGCTATAGGTTTCTTTCCAGTCTGAGAAATAATTACCATGTTTCATTTAAAGTCTCTAATAAGTTGTGAAGAATAGAGAAGGAAAGGGTGACAAATTCCTAGACCTCAGGCTCCAAATCTAGGCATAGAGCTGTGGCACAAAGTAACAATCCTTGGCACCCAGTGACCATCTCCGTGAGAGGAGTTGGGATTGTGTGTACTGTCCAACTTGATGAGGGGGAGAGCATTGACTGACATCAGAGAGTAAGGGAGAGAGTCAAATTCATACAATGGATTTGAGATACCATCTGAAATCCTGAACACTGGACATTTAGGGAGGTAGGGATGTGTGCCATGCAGGGGGAGTAGACAGTGCTGCCTTAAGATTTGGAGACATCCTGAAGGGGAACAATGTACCATTGTGGATGGTTCCTGTGAATTGTCTGTACTGTGTGTTCCTTAGCATGTGTTTATTCAGATGGGTGCAGCATACACCAAAGATTCGAAAACAGAAACAATCAGAAATTCTAGAAAAACCAGCAGCCAATCTTGGCACCTTTCTTGGCAGGAAGGCTTAGGAGGGAGGCACATGATATCAGATGCCACAGAAATGTACACAGTTGTACTCACAGATGCCCCCGGGGCAGCCCAGTTACTGTGGGAAGTAGAGCCTAAGTTTGTAGAGACAGGTCTCACACCTCCTTCAAAGCAGTTCAGTTAACTCAAGCAGCTGTCCCAGGCTTACACTATGCTCATCCCCAGAAAGGAGCTACCCAACCCAACCAGATGTGATACCTGAGTGACAGAGCTTCTGTTTCTCCAGGAGTTTGATAAGTGAGTCTCAGTTTCAACCATCCATTCCTTGTTAACATAATCTGCTCTGCTCTGCTGATGAGGGCTCACATTCTTAAGGCGTGTTAAGATACTCATTTTAATTAGGCAAATTGATAATTATAGTTCCTTGAGATATATCCTAATTAGGACTCTTTTAGGCTAGCATGTAACTACCTTCTCAGAGGTTTACCACATCTGTTCTGAAGAAATTCTGAAAGGGAGAAATCAGGACAGAGGTGCTTTTTAAAATTGTATTTGAGTGCTGGTATCATGGCTCAGAAGGTAAAGGTGTTTGCCAACAAGGCTGACAACCTGACTTTGATTATGGGAGCCCACATGTTAGGAGAAGACCAGCTGCCATAGGTTGTCCTCTGACCTCCAGGTGAGTGCCATGGCATCTGTGCACCCACACCTCCACGTAATAAACAACAAAATTGAAGTTAACTGTTCTAAGGTCCTAAACATATTTGTTCTTATTTTATCCTATCAGGATAGTTCCACCTCCTTGGGTAGTTTTCTTTAAAACATTGTTTGAGGGCTGGATAGATGACTCAGCAGGTAGAACACTTCCACTCTGCTGGAGGACCTGGCTTCAATTCCTAACATCCAAATCAGGTGGCTTACAACCACTTGTAACTGTAGATCAAGGGTATCTGACACCCTCTTCACAGACATACCTGTGTGGTATACATTCACACAGGGAAACACAGAAATAAAAAATAAAAAATTTTAAAAGAGGTTTTTTTTTTTTTTTTTGGTTTTCGGTTTTTCGAGACAGGGTTTCTCTGTGTAGTCCTGGCTGTCCTGGAACTCACTCTGTAGACCAGGCTGGCCTCGAACTCAGAAATCCTCCTGCCTCTGCCTCCCAAGTGCTGGGATTAAAGGCATGCGCCACCACTGCCAGGAAAAGGAATACATTTTTAAAATAATAAATGAAAGGTTGTTTCTCGGAACATTTTGCACCTCTGCAGCTGCCTTGTAGAAACTGATGGTTTTGTTATTTCTCAGTTTTCCCTGTATATCCTCTCACTGGCGAGAGTAAGTGGATTCTCAGTAGAAATACTCAAGTTTAAACAGTTGTAACAGGGAAGAAGATGAAGTAAGAGCTTCAGTTGTGCCTTTTCATTTAGGACAAATTAGTTCTTTCTTATTTGAAGAGGGATCTGTTCAATAAAAGCTGTGGGAGTGGACAGATTTGGCCCAACAGCCTAAATCAATACTGAGTTTAATCACAGTAGCTGAACTTTGGTTGGTTGTGGAAGGCCCTGTGGTGATAACTGAGCCTTAAGCAATTAACCAGGTAAGCTGTAGCTCAGTGACTGTTGATTGACTAACTGTAGCCAGTTAAATTGTTCTGTGTTCTTCGCTTCTGCTTTCCCTTCCTCACTTTAATGCTGCCTGGCCCCGTGCTGGAGCTCTCGGTGCTGGCTCTAAGAGCAGCCTACTCACAAGTCATTTTTGCTGTGATCAAATAAGTAACTGAGCTAAATTCAGTTGGCCAAAGGAAGTTCCCTCTGATAGTCCCTGTGGCTAAACAGGAATGTTCCTCATCATGATCACCAGCTAAGGGATCTGTTGATCAGTGCACATTGACATGTTTAAAAAGGCCACACGTAAAAGGAAAAAAAAAAAACGATTTTAAATGAGTTTATTTGAGATAGGCTCTAGCTGAGGCTGGTCTGGAACTGATGAGCCTCCTGCCTCAGTCTCCTTAGTGCCTGGCTTACTGCTGAGTGCCACCATAACCTGGCTGGGCTTCTACTTTTGAAATCTTTATTGGGAACTTGTTTATGGTAACATTTATTCCTATTGTGCTTATAGCTTGTTTTCAATAATGCTCCAGAGTGATGCAGGCAGGCAGTACTTTAAAGCAGCGTTGTGTCCACCTGCAGTCTGCAAGTGTTCCCACTCCTACCTGTCACAGGTGCCTACTACATTCCTGTGCAGAGAAGTCTTGTTTGGACATTTCCTGTGAATGGAGTCATATGTGGCCTTTCCTGGTTGGCTTCACCTCAGAGTGCTTCCAGAAGTCCTCTACACTGTAGCTAATAGCTAGTGCTTTGTCCCCTTTATTGCATCCCATTTCATTGTGGGAATAACCAAATTTGTGTGTCCACTCATTGATAAATATCTGGATTTTTTATATTCATGGACATTCATTAAGACATTGTTTAAATGAGTAGCTACTATAAACAGAACAAATCTTTAGGTTTTTTTTGTAGGTTTGGAATTTCTGGGTCATGCAGTAGCTGTGCTACTATTTTACCTCCTGACCAGCAGTGCCTGCGAGTTAAAAGCAACTCAAGGAGGAAGGGTTTATTTTGGTTCCCAGTCAGAGGTATAGTTTTTCACGGCAGGGGCATGGTGGCAGCTGAGGGTAAGGCAGCTTGGT